TTTCCTGCAGCTGCGTATTGGGCTCGGAGTACGCAGAACCCGGAGAAAGTTAGAACAAACCTGCTCAACTTTTAAACTAGCGTGCCGAGAAAGCGATACTATACAGGAGGCCTAAAAGCTCAAGACTTGTCATTAGCTATGCGTTCCTGGGCATCAGGATTCCAAGTAGCATGTGGAGACAGCGCTGTGGCAACCGGCAAGGCACAGAGGCAGCCGTATATCCCCGCTACAACAAAACTCACCTAAACAAACGCGACTACCAAGCACTCAAGGCCTTCAAGGCTCTACGAGCAAAAGCTTCTGGGTAGTGCTGGGTGTCCTTGAGCACGTAGTCACTACTGTGCGCATGATCCCCAGGACATTTAAATTCAGCCATGCAAGAAATTAGAAGCGAGCTACTCGAACACAACCTCCAAACCTTTCGGACCGGTTGACCGTCCTTCCCGAGCAATCCACAAGCACAACCAAACACTAGCCCTTCGCTGTGTGAGTTAGTCCGTAAAAAGGACTTTGTGGACGCCCAGCCCCAGTAAGCACAACGCTGTGGCCACTCTATGACCCAAGTTGGCTCTTTCGATGCATTTACCAAAAACAGAAAGCTTTTCCAGAGCTTCCTATGGATTGTAAAGAGACCTCTGAGATGTCTTGAGTAGTAACTCTCGTCGCGAGCTACCTGAAGATGTTGCCACGGGGACCCTCCGGTACAAGGCGTAGAAGCCCAAACAACCACATGCATACTCCTACGAGCAGCAGTGCGGATGGCACCCTCGAGCAATCTCAAAGTCTCCGGATCCATCCCGTCAACGCGCGCTGTGACAGGAATAGCCATGATCCCATAAGCATCGCTGAGGCGACTCAGCCAGGCATTCTCAGAAGTACAAAGCTCGACCATGAGAATCATGTGGTTAGTATCCAACTGACACTGCCCAACAAACACAACCCATGGATCAGCAACCGACGCAACTGACTCGGCAAGAAAACTCTTTAACGTAGCGTGGAGTAGGGCACCTTGCTCAACACAGAAAACAACGCTCACAAAAGAAGCCTTAGTGTCTCTCTCTTCCAAGCCAAGGAACTCTACAAAACGCCAAGTTTGCTTCGCAGACAGGTTCTTCGTCTGCAAGTCAGAGACATTGTCGGTACCGGGAGTATGCCCAAGCACAAGCTGCCCAGCCTCAACCCGGTCCTGCAAGAAACAAAGCCTCAGATCAACGTGTCTGAGTCTCCTGAGAAAACCCGTCATCTGCCCAACCTGCCGAGCAGACGAACTATCAGTCAACAGCGGAATCGGCGACGCTACCTCATCGAAAAGATGCTCAAAAAGCTGCTTTAGTCCTAGCAACTCCTTTGCGGCTTCGGTTAGAGCAAACAGTTCGCTTTCGGCTGAGCTTAGCGCAACGATCGGCTGGAGCCGAGAGTAGCATTTTACCGCATTTCCGTTTAAATAGATAACCCCACCTGATGTTGACTTTCGGCCAGTGCTCCTCTCACTCGCCCAGTTGGCGTCAGAGTACCCTAGAAGGCACGCACGACCCTCGGGAAGAGCAGGGTCTTTTCGGAACACTTGCACAAGGTCTGGGCACTCCAAAAGCCACCGCAGCACCCTTCGCATACAATCCTCGTGCACCGCACGCGGACAGGCTTGACCTCTAGACAACATACTGTGGTAATAGCAAAGATCGCCCCTAGTCTGCACTAACCACCCCAGTTTACCCAGAGTGCTCCTAAACCTAGCACAGGCTTCAGGGCTGAGTTCTTCGGAGGGATTTTCAGGGTTTTCCCGGTCATAGATGGCTCTTAGGTCCGGTGGCACAGTAGCTGGCTTCAGCTTACGACGCGCCTCGACCGACCAACCAAACGCCTCAAAGATTGAGTTAACATACTCCTTCTTCACTGCAAGCAAGATCTCAGAACCCCTCTTAATGATCTCCCGACCCAAAAAGCTTATTCTACCATCCTCGTTAAGTCTTCCGGTAAGCTTAACCTTGAGTCTGGCCATCAAGAAATCAAGAAGTTTCTGATTCGACTCCTTACTTCGCGTGGCAAGAAGAATGTCGTCCACATATACGAGACACAAAACCAGGATATCCCCCCAGTACCCTTTGTACAAAGTAGGTTCGATCAACGAAGGAAACAAACCCAACTCAGCAAGCAAAGAGGCTAAGTGCTTTTGCCAAGAAAGTCCTGCAGAACGTAATCCGTAAATTGCTTTGTCCAACATCATGAAAACCGTGCTTCCATCCATGTTCTGAAAGCAAGAAGGCAATTCCAACACTGTAGCTAGCACAAGTTTAGCATACAGAAAAGCCGTAGACACGTCCAGGCCCCACAAGACCAGTGTGTCTTGAACAACTCGACAAAGGAACCCCTTAAATGCTTCAACACTGGCTGTCTGAGAAGCAATCCCCAGGTCCAACGCCGTAGGTTGGTGGAACGCGAAGTCCTTCGCTACAAGGCGTGCCCTGACGATCTTGGAACCGTCCAGATCTGCTTTGTCGGTAAACACGAACCTGCTTTTGACGATTTTAGCCCCGGTTTCGTCACAGTACTTCCGGGCCTCGCCATAAGTGCAGGGCTTTCCGACCTCCAAGCTGTCCAGGGCAGCTACCTCCTTGAGCATCCCTTGCCAGGTCGCCTCCGCACTAAGCGGGAGACTGGTAAGATCATCTACAACAGATGTAGGTTTAGCTAACCACAACTGACGACCGGCAATCTGGATAACTTGACCTGATTGGGGGTCCTCGTACTTAGCAGGAGCTCTTCTCTTGATCTGACTGACAAACGCAAGCACTTCCTCTTCATCAACTGCAACCAACGGACACAACTGACATTCTGCAAGATCGAAGAACCGATTCTCAAGCATCTCCTCAGTAAGAGTAAGACAGGTGTCCAAGAGGCGTGGGAGAATTTCTGGTGGAGCCTCAAGGTCAACTGGGTCAAATCCTTCGTCCAGCGGTGGCGCGCCTAAAGGCTGCGACTCTTCGTCAGGAAAGTCCGGAACGTACTCGGACAGTTCTCCGGGAGAGTACTCCCTCACTTCGGGCTCGCCGAAGCTAACCTTCTTAGGCTCGGGAAGCATCGGAGCGTCCTTCTTCTGATTATCCGGAAGCTGAGGCATCTCAGAATCCTGAAGGGGTTTGTCTTCGCCTTCCCCCACGGAATCTTTGAGATAACGAGCATACCGCTGCTTGCACCTCTTCGAGTGGTAGAGGGACTTTCCCCTACACCCAGGGCACTTGTCGGTGGGGTTCTCTGACCACCACGACTCAGGCGGTTGCTCTAGAGCACCAGAATCCCTCCTTGGCAAGTCTACACCAGGAAGGCTCTCGTAGTCAGCTTCGTCCGGATTAAACTTGGCAATTGTTGGCAAGAAATTGCTGGAGTACGTGACTGGGTAAGCGAGTTTCATCGCACTGGCGATGCATCTTTGCATGTGGCCGTCACGTAACCGAATCATCACGTGATGGCCTTGTCCTCCGATCACGGGTCCTAGGTACCCCGCAAGGTCGAATTTCCCCGCGACCTTGTTCTTCAAAGAGTCCGGAGGTTGGGCATAAACCAAGCATGCAAACGGAAACAGCAAGTGAGGAATGTGCTGGGGTCCCAACACACGCTGCAAGGGCGACAACATGTCTCCGGTGGACTTCGAGAAACGGTTGTGAGCTGCGGCAGCGTACTGACACAGCAACTCGTTCGCCTCATCACTATCGTGAAGAACAAGGCCGCTCGTAGAGTGAGCGTGGAGTTCTGAGGTCAGAACGCCTTCCTTGATCACACGGATCGCTCGCTCCGCGATGGGAGCGTGGCGACTAGGCTTAGAGCCTGTCTCTGTGCCACCCGTGCTCTTCACAATGGCCTGTGCGATGGCCGTGACCAGAGGCTCGTTGTCGTGAGTTATGGAGACTTTGCCAAGTCCAAAACTCCTGAGGAACCGTATCAATCCAATCACTGTTGTCGCTCGGCCCTCACCGGAGAAAGTCGTCGAGCATCCGACGCAAAAGGACTTTACATGTACGATGCAAATTAGACGGCTAGATTTATAAAAGAATTGGTCTATTTGCACTTCGTCATCCCCAGGGGGATCTTTGCGTCTACGCGCCGGAACATAACTTCTGCCTCTGATACAGGAGGGGCAGTGGGCCCAATATGGGTAATGACCCTGTCTGAGGTGTTGAAGCCTTTGATATTCCGTGACTTTCTCGGGGAATTCCCCGGTATAGGACTCTAGTCCTTCAGTCGCATCTGGCTCCTTCGAACCTTCTACTGGGCCTTGAACCTCATCTGCATCTGCATCATCCCCAAAAGCGTCTTGCAGTACTTCCATCACGTCATCCCCATTCCCTGCCATGCCAATGCCCTTCTCAAGAGCACAAACTCTCTGCTGCAAAACAGAAAGCTCATCCTGAAAACTCATGTAACTACCAGGAGTGTTCTTAGCCATACCCAACGAATCAGAAGAGGCCTCTCTCTCAGCCAGATGGCTGACCCCTTGGACCTTCTCATCCTTTTCGTCGGATAAACCCTTTTTCGAGGCTATATTCCCTTGGGGGATTAAACCACAAGCACGACCAACCGGCTCGCCCAACGCAACGCAACCAAGCACAACTTCCACATGCTTCGACTGCTCACTCTGGACAACTTGCTCAGGCTGACCGGCCACAACACAACGGGAATCTACCTCCTTACCAACCAACTCTACACACTCAACGCAACCGACATGACATGTCTGCTCAGGCAAAACACTCACCACAGATGCGCACTCCCTTGCAGCACGCGGGCCTACCTGGCAAAAGATGCTGGTAACGTGATGCCTTCTGAACACTGGACACTTGGCCTCAGCAGGCGGTTGAGGGTTAGAGATTAGTGTACCTAGGGAGGTAGAGGCTAAAGAACGTTGTTGGGGGCCAAAAGTAGACTTCTTCGGGGACCACAGCCTAAAACCCTTTTTGGGGAACCCTGGCTGAGGAACTTGAACCTGCGAACTGCACATGCACTCTACCAAGGACTTGGGGGAACCTATACCCTCACCTTGGGGGCCATTGGGGATCCCAGTATAAAACCCTTCTTTCGAACCCTCGGTGGACCCTCTAAAACCTTTGGGGGAACCCTCCGGGGACCCTTCCTGGGGATATAACTCACAAACCCTGGCTTCAACCCTGGCTTTGCACTGCAGAACGCACTCAGCTGGGCATGTGCGTGAACCTGACTGCTCATCTTTATTATACCGGGCCCTGTGGGGTCTACTTTCGGGGAACTTATAAACCCTGGTGGACAAATTCGCAACACAACCAACTTGACCAACACGACCCGACAACAAGCTACAACCAGTTGCAAGCTCTCGCATGTGGCCAAATTTTTCTTGTTGTTGCAAACGTCCTGAACTGTAAGAGTCCTGGAAAGCAAATTCTTGTGCGCAAGCCCAACTGCCTACGACATTGTGCTCGAAGAATCGATGTCGACCGGCTCTGTCTCCGCAGGGACCGCCTTTACCACAAGCTTTGGCATAGCCTTCACCGCCGTCCCAGGCTTTGGTGTGATACTGCTCAGCATCTCCGGAGCCGTTGTATTGGGAACTGGTGGCGGAGGTGGCACAGTCCAAACCTTCGGCACTGCCGGAGGTAGCGGGATCGTATAGTCCCACTCTGGTTCCGCTGGCGGTGGAGGCGGTGGCGCCTTCGAACTCGCGGTGCTCGTCAGTGGAGAAGTTCTTGACTGATCGAGGTGGATCGGGTCGAGTAGGCCCAAACTGATTTGCTGTCCTATGTTCAACACCCAGGGTCCGTGGACCAGGGCATATTCTGCTAGCGGCAGCAAGCTTGGGAAACTTTCCAATCGTCTGAGGTCCTCGATCGTCACAGGCCGTGCAGTTGGCCGATCCTTCGGAACAGGGGTTGGTGGAGCAGGAGCTCTCCATTTGCCCCAGGACTGGTCCTCTGTGTCTGTGGCTTCCGCTGTAGACGCCTTTGGAGACGTTTTCGGAGCCACGGATCCAACTGCTGGACTCGGCATCTTCTCTTTCTCCACTGCTGGCGCTGCCGGCTTCGGCACCGCTTCCTTCGGCGGAGTCTTCGGCTGCTGTCGGCCCAACTCGGCCATCCGATACGCTGAAGCATCTGTCGGTGGCAGAGAGCGGTACATTTCTTTGAGGCTTTTTCCTGTCATCGACTCTCCCCGGAGAGGGGTACGTGGCCGTGGAGCTGGACTCACCCCATAGCGATAACCTGAAGGCTTCGCTGGTGGCGATGGCAGAAGATCCGCCTTTGGAGAACTCTGCTTCGGAACGCTTGGCTTTAATGGAGCAGATTTCACTGCCGTCGGGGCGTCCGCCTCCGTAGCTGGCAGAATCGTCCCCATCCTGTCCTTTGCAGTCCTGTACCCGCTTTCG